GATCTTTCAATTTTTACGGATTGAGGTTACCATCGAGTATTTGTTATACTATAGAACGCGTTCAATGCGAGAGCGTTAAATTAACGGTGTGCGATCCACAGAACAAAAAAAAACGGTGAATATTCGCACCTTCGACTAACGTCACGCAGGTCGCTCTAACCACTCGATCGGTGGATTCTCGCGTGTTATCTCGACCAGAGATTCGACTAGATACATAGAGTGTTCCGAGAATACTACCTTTATGAAAGAAACGAACGAAACTTCATATAAATTTTTTAAATGGTGCGTAAGAGGATATTCTTGAAAGGCATTCAGGAGTTTCTTGAGATAAACGACGAAGGTTTATTCTACCTGCTGTTTAATTAGAAGTCCACTTCGAATTAATATGATTTTTACACGGATTAGCACGAAGATATTTACCTAACGTTCGAGAAGTTGTTTAACAACGTTAATACAAACGTTGTACGAATCTTTTTAAGGAAATTTAGAATTAAGGGTGAAAACAGAAGCGTTTCTTAAAAAAAAAAACAAGTTCACGTGGTGCCAATATGCAGATTTACTCGCCAGGATAATAAGAATCGCAAGTTTTCCCTACGAAAATCATCCCGAGTCAGCGACGAAAAGGAATAATTTTGATTCGTCGAATAAATCGCACACCCCGTATATGCGCACACATATATACATATATACATATATACGCACTGAATAGCACGTGGTATGCGGGCGATTATACACGCGACTGCGGAGCTCGACAACGCGAGAGCTCGAAACCGCCGATCGAGATTTCTCGTCGAACGATTTCTCGTTGACGAACTTGTGGGGGGAAAAAAAGAGACCTCGGTCCGAATGAGAGTTACATAAAGTCCGCTTGTACATTTTAATTTTCTCAACTGTTATCTTTCTCTCTCTGACTCTATCTATCTCTATCTCTATCTCCCTCTCTCTATCTTTGATTTTGTTCACGTGTCTCGGTAAAACACGGCGATAAAGTAAATTTTTACACAATTTACACGGATATAGTTTTATCGGGATTGTCGGGAAAAATTGGAGAGATAGATCACGAATAAATGCGTGACGTTTTACGGTCGACCTCTTGGGAAAACGATGCGACAGAGCGACGCGACGCGCTGATGCGGTCGCGTAGATTTCCACTCGCGCGCCCGCAAAGCTAACAAATCGACCGCGGTCCAAGAAAAACAATAACGCCGCGGTATGCGGGAGGTGCGAATCGTAAGAATTTCGCGGAGGCTCCTGCGGCGGGGCGACGAGGAGGCGCGAATGAAATTTCAGAGACGGGACGAGCGCGACGGGCGCGTTGACAAAGAAATTTTCGAGAGGGAAGGACACCACGGAGCGCGTTATTTCGTTGCCGAATTCCTCGGGAGGAATTCGGCTTGGTCGTCAACGTATAAATTAACGATTCACTCGCAAGCTCGGACTTTTCCCCAAACAAAGATCGGCACACGATCGCTCGGGGAAAAGTTCGACGCACCCGATGGAATTCCAAACGCGGGCGCGTTCCACGGAATTTTTACGCGCCGGCGAACGAAACGTCAGGCGAGCTAATCGCTCCTCTTCTATTTGCCGTATACGGACGCTGCGTTTCTTCGCCGAAACGCGGGAACGTGATAAAAGGTATGCGACGAACACGAGCGCCAAGTTGCAATTATGCTCTCGTGCGAGGAAATAAAAGCGCGCACGGAGAGAATTTTCCTCTTAAAATTTATCCTGAGGATCATAATCGCAGGACAACACGGCATTTCGAAGAATTTTATCAGTTTTTTTTTCAAATTTTACCATATACGTTTTACACTAAGTTTTTCAAAATGTCGTGTTCTCCCACGATTTTCAAGGTAGATTTTAAGAGAAAATTCTCTTCGTGTACGAAAAGGAGAGGGACGGGGAATTATTTTAATTAAAAATAAGTTGTTTTTGAAATTGAAAGGAGAGAAAATGAAATATCTGACTTGGTAAGCCTTCCGCTAAAATAATACTCTCGGCAAAAAAGGTAGTCGAGAAACATCTACCTTTTCATTCGGAAGAGAACAAAGTCCAACGCACACCGTAGATTCAATCTCTCGTAGATGTTATCGCGTCTGGTGCGCTTTCTAAATTTTTTAATTTTGTGTCCGCACAAAAGCCGCAATTTCAGGAAGCAGAGGAGGACAATGAAATCGAACGTATCTTAGTCCCGATGTTATTAAGAGTGAAAAGGAAAGATTACGTAAATATCCCATAATGAAATAGAATGTATTTTACCCTAAAGTTAAATTATTGGAAATAAAAAAATTATTTAACTGAATAAAAAAAAGTTAATCCAAGTGTTTATTATAAGAGACGAGAAATTGCTTAAATATCTGATCTAATTTCATTGTGAATTTCCTACTGAAACACCTGGCAGAGAGACAGGACAAGAAACACCTTACTTGGAAGAGAACAAAGGCCGGTGCTTCCATAGATTTCTCATAAATGTTATTACGTTTGGAATTTTCAAATTTTGCGAGCTTGCGAAAGTCGCAATTTCAGAAGGAGAACAGGAACGAAATCGAACGTTTCTTACTCCAAATGTTATTAAACGCTATTTAAATACTGAATAAAGGAATCGGCTGTGTCTTTATAATATTAAAAATGAAAGAAATTAAATGAAAAATCACATGTTGCTTGAAATATTATTACAAGCAAAAGAAACGTTATACACTAAAGTATCTGATCTGACTTGACGATAAGTTTTCTGCCGAAACAGCCGGCGGGGCGGCCGAGAAACATGTACATACTTTCGTCGAAGAGAACAAAGTCCGGTGCTTCCATAGATTTCTCATAAATGTTATTACGTTTGGAATTTTCAAATTTTGCGAGCTTGCGAAAGTCGCAATTTCAGAAGGAGAACAGGAACGAAATCGAACGTTTCTTACTCCAAATGTTATTAAACGCTATTTAAATACTGAATAAAGGAATCGACTGTATCTTTATATTATTAAAAATGAAAGAAATTAAATGAAAAATCACATGTTGCTTGAAATATTATTACAAGCAAAAGAAACGTCACGCTAAAGTATCTGATCTGACTTGGCGATAAGTTTTCTGCCGAAACAGCCGGCGGGGCGGCCGAGAAAAGTGTACCTTGGTTCGGAAGAGAACAAAGTCCATCGCCGCCGTAGATTTCAATCTCTCATAAATTCCTCCGCGTCTGCCGCACTTTCTAAATTTCTAAATTTTGCGCGCTCGCGGATAGGCGCGAAGAATTTCCGCGAAGAAAAGACGAGGCGAGACCGTAAAGGGAGGTGTCGCGGGCGAATTTATTGGCGAGCGAGCCGCGCGAAGGGACCCGTTTCGCGAGAAGGAGTTGAAAACCGCGCCGACCGGCCTCGAACGGGCCACCGGCGCACGCGGGCGAGGAGAAGAGGATCGGCGACGAGATTCCGAGCGTCGCGCCGTGACTCGCGGCATCGCCGTTTTAAGAAAGGCCGATCGCCGGGCCCCGCGCGATCCCCATAACGCGCCGCGCCGCCGTGGAATTGAGATTTCGACTGATACGCGGTAGTGGGTGTCACGTGCCGAGTTTCTCCCGTTTCTCCCGTGCGTAGAGCGCCAGGCGACCGTGCGCGTACTCGCTAATAATCGCGCGTGAGACTCCTCTGGCGAGCAAGGCGGACTCGTCGAGCTCCGTTGTTTACCACTCGCGCGCGATTAGTCAAGGCAGCGGTTTTCTTCTCTCGCCGCGAGATCAAAGGGCGCGAATTAATCAATTAGCGTCGATTCGCGCGCAGAGCTGTAGCCGCGCGACGAGAGCGCACGGCGAGTCGTCACCCGTTGACGTCGCGGAATTCGCCGCGAAATTCCGAGACGTCAACGTCGCGGGACCACGGGTCTGACTTTCACGGAGCGAGGGTAGGGGAGGAGGACGAATTGGCCTGTCGCGGTGGAAATCGCGTACCTGCTGCGAAATTGTTCCGCAAACGTGGGACGACGGGAAGAGGCGCCGAATCTCGCGCGGTTCTCTCTCTTTCTCTCTCTCTCCCACTCGGGACCGGCCGATCGCCCCGCGGTGGTCGCACGAGGCGGTTTCCTCGGACTCGCCGACGGTGCGAGGAGATCGCGGAGCGGAAACCGTCGACGGCGACGATGACGCGCTACTCCGAGCGATCGTCGTCGTCGGCGCCACCGCCGCGCGGCGCGCGTCCCTCGACATTCGCGGGGAATCAATAGAGGAATGCGGCGTAGCGTAGAAGAATGCAAAAAGAGCCGAGGGAGAAGGAGAGGAGGGAAGAGAGCGAGCGAGAGGAGGAAAGAGCGGCGGGGCGTACGCGCGCGCGGCATTCCACGGGGAGAGCCGCGCCGGCACGTCGTTCATCCCGCCGCCTTTATTTGACAGTGCGTGCGTGCGTGCGTGCGCGCGCGCGTTTTATCACACTCGTACTCACCGGCAGCGGCTCGTCGCTCGTCGCTCCCGTCAACGTCGCCGCGTAAACCGATGCGCCGCACCTGCGAGACACGCTCCGCGGCCGACCTGGCACTCCCGGCTCCCGCGACGTGTCCGATCGGCGCCCGGACCACTCGCGTCACGCCGTCGGCGCGTCGTGCCGCGTCCGGCGGCTCGCTCCCATTGAAAAGCACGGGAAATGCAACGGTATGCGGGCGGGTGGACGCGCGCGCGCGGCACGGCCCGCTTGACACGACAGGCAGCGGCGGCACAGGCCGTCCGTCCTCATCCCTCCGCCGCTCTTCCGCCCGCGCGCCCCCACCCTCGCCCCGCCGCCCTCCGCCCGCCGCTGCCGCCGCCGCCGCCGCCGCGTGCGCTCGGGCATTACGCCGGAATGCGCGGTATGCGGGCCGGCCGCCGCGCCGCGGCGGCAGGATTGTCAGGCTCCGGCCGCAGCCTTGTAAATACGCCAGCGCGCGCGGCTCTGTGCCGATTGTTGCGGCTTGCGCGCGCGACCGGGGACGGATTTTTCTGCGCACGCGCCCGGTAGCAGACGTGCTCCGGCTCCGAGTAGAGTGCCGTACTCCACGGGGATATCTGGGGGCTCGATCGTGAATCTTTTTCTCTAACTCGCGAAAAATTTCATTGAGCAACTCAATGTGGTATCTCCTATTCCATCTCATTCATGAATGTCGAGCAAAACGATACGAGGGAGCCTGTGTCAGTTAAATAATGCAGGCGGATGATTGGCAAAGTTAAGGTGCCACTTCACAGAGCGAAAAAAAGCTAGCGTATTACAGCCACTCTATTTCCGCCAAAGAACTATACAGCGACGATACCCATACAGCACAAACCTTGCAATTACATTGCAGCTACATTACAGCAACGTTGCAATATTGTAGCAATGTTATTGCAATGTAATTGCAAGTTTTGTGCTGTACGGGAAGTGATAACGAGTGACTTTCCGGGAGGATATTCGATACTTATATATATTCTAGCCATCCAGACTAATTATTAAAGATAATTCCGTGAATTATTGACCTGCTCATTTTTCAAAGACTGCCCGTGTTTTTCGTTTTCCATATCCCGCCACATGTAGTATATAAGAACGTATGTGATGCCGTTTAATTTTTTTATTAAATTATTCTTGACACATGTCCACGGTGTTTTGTTTAAAATTCAGGAAAATTCATTATGAGAGAAGCTACACAGTCGATGTACTGTATATTATTAGTACAAATCAGAGAAATGTAAAAATATATCTCGGGCCCCCGAGATCACCCTACAATACCGCTAGACACATGCCTGTCGAGACAGTCACGTGGTCCGCAACACGTGTGTGGCTCTGTGACAATGTTGACAATTATTGGTCTTCATCATTTTCTTGCACCATCATTGATGCAACATAAAGTGATGTTAATACGCTTCTTTGTACAAGTCTGTTGACGAAATGTCCAGGTAAAAATTAATTTTGCAGTAGCTATCTTATGGTACGTTTATTTTTAAATCTCTCTTGTGTGGCAGTTTGGTTAACTTGCATCTGTGCTCTTGCAGAGGAGAGATTCTGTTGACGATGGAATAGGACAATTGTGTAAAATGAGTTTAGACAATTGTGACGACGACCACGATGATGATAGACCGGAAACACCACCGGAGGAAGATTGTTGCGGCAGCGGCTGCACGCCGTGTGTCTTCGACGTTCACAAAACGTTGCTGAGAGAATGGGAGAGTAGAAAGACACGGGCGAGGGCTAAACCAGCCGGCAATTTGTTATCCCTTTTATCTTACAAAGCATTCGTCGTTGCAAATGTATCCGATACGTCGGAAGATTACATTTTACTTTGCTTAGAACACCCAGGTATCGCAGTTCTATCAGTAACAAGCTTTTACAAAATATCCCGCGGATAATTAGCAGCAAGTATGTACGATAGTCTACTGCCGAATCTAGAGAATGTTGCGCCTAAAGTTTCTTTTTAAACAGTAACGCAGCGTGGCATTTAAAATGTAATCGACCAATGTATGTTGTGTAGATAGCAAAATAGAGAGCAATGTTAGCTTACGTCTCACGCCTGGCCAGTACGTCATGCTACATTCTTGGAGCAAATCCCGACCGTACACCCCGATTGCTTGGACACAGAGGAGTTTAGTTCTCTTGGTAAAATTATATAAACACGGCGAATTCAGTTTGCTTCTGAAAAACGCGCCGATCGGCAGTGCAATTAACGTCAGGGGTCCTTATGGAGATTTCAAGTATGAACGAAACAGGTGTGTAAAGTTAAAATCACAAGTATTAAGTAAATATTTATTTTTATATAGTAAAAATTTTTATATAGTATAAAGTAAAAATTTATTTTTATATAGTAAAAATTTATATATCAACTAAAATTTACTATATATTGAGTAAAAAATATATCGAGTAAAATTATTTTTTCATAAATCACTGCACTATTACGATAGCTTTCGGCAGGTCGTCATGTTTAGCATCGGCTCAGGAATAGCAGCGCTTTATCCCGTCGCTAAAGCGATCGTCGACGACGAAGCGGAGCTGACAAGAGTACATCTTGTCGCGGGATTTAGGTCGGTAGAGCATGTACCTCTGAAAAAAGAGTTGTCACATCTAGCGGATTATTGGAATTTCAAATGTACATTACAACTGTCCCAGTTAAACGGTACGTGATAACATCAAGAGTACCGAGATGCAACAGAAAACAACAAAGTTAAAATTGTGTACATACAATTGAATGTCTTACAATAATTGCGCTTTAAATAATTTTTTTTCACACTGATAATTGAAATGTTAATTCACTTAATCATAAACAAACGATTAAAATCACGATGTTGGTAATTTCTTAATCAGTTAAATATACTTTCTTTAAACGATTGTTTCAGACAAGACGGTCTACCTTCATGGTTTTAATATAAACGCCGGCCGTTTGTGCAAAGCACTCCTTGCCAATTATCTTCGATCTAATGATACAGAGACATCATTAATTTTAATATGTGGAACCTCAGAGTTCAACCAGTCCACAAAAGAATGGCTCCAAGAAATGAATTATGCACACATACATATATTTGAATGAAATGAATAAATGTTTTAGGAATTTAATCGATGCCTACCTTTGTCATTCAATAGGACAGGAAATCTTTTCCTTACAATGCGGGCAATTGCCATAGATGTGGCCAAACACAACTTGATTCTCAGCGTTCATTTGTAACCACTGTTGTAGAATGCAATTAATTTTATTCAAATATACTTGACGTAACTTCTTACACATCGGGTGCAGTATATGATTTCAGTCTTTAAAAGTGTTTCTACGTTTTATCTTTTTTCCGTTTTGAACATTTATTGAAATACGCATTTGGGGCTCGGTGCCCTTCTTACCAAACATCCTATTATGTATGATTTCTTACGTACCCTTGATAAACATGCTGAATGAAAATGCTTCATGCACCTCTCGTTATTGCATATCTTATGCGGCAATTCGTCGGTCTCGGATTTTTCGGAGAAGCATATGCCGCATTCACGACTGCCGATAATGCCCTTCGAGTCGTCCATACTTTCCTGCTGCTCGGGAAATTCATACGTATTTAACATAATTCTTAGATTTTCTAGAATATTACAGTCCCGATTCCAGTTCTGCAAAAAGATGTTTAATCGACGTTCAAGTAACGGCCTTAAACGAGTCGCCGCTATAATTCATTTTACGCATACAGTGCACCTTCAGATTATTGTTAACCTCCTCCTTTTGTCTCTTCACCTCGTTGTCACTGCCCGAGAATGTAATTGACTGCAAAACAGTGGGATTCAGCGGATCTATTGTAATCGTCACAGACAAGGATTGCGACAAATGAATGCGTCTGTACATGTGACTTTTGTTCGGTTCCGGTGGATCAATTACCCAACAATTCCTGGAGATAAAATATTTATTTAGAGCATCTTGTAACGCAATTGTTCAGTCATCCCTTCGGCGACAGGGCAATTGAAAAGCATATTATTTTTAGAAAGTTTACTTTCTTTTCGCAATAGCCGTAGGTTATCAAAAAATTATTTACTCATCAATCTCTCTTAATTGTTCCCACGCTCTTTCCAATAATTCCACTTGCCACTTGAACTTTGTCATCGCGATGCTCAAATTAGTTACATTCTTTTCGAACGTGGGAATAGCAGGCATGTCGGAAGAGACTACTTTCCAGGGAGCTCCAACGTCGTTGCATCTTTGCAACGTAAGAGACACTCCTCTTAATGATAACTTGATAGTATTTAGATCCCGATCACTTGATAACTGCACATTCTTTAATAATACAAAAGTTGACACAATATTATTTAGATTGCAAAGGAACAGCTTTGACCAATAATTCATTAAAGTCCGATCTGCAATGTGTTCTTTGCGTCTAGAAACATTTTCTTTTATAGTCAATAAATACGTTTAAAAAATGTGTGCGTAGATAAACTGTATATTATACATTGCACAATCGTGCATTGTCGACAAATTTTTTAAGCATATCGAGTTGCTCGTATAAAATAGTACGTTTCTAACATTGCAAAAAGCACATTGTAGATTAGACTTTAATGTGGCTAATGTATTTTAATGTGTTTACAGATAATTTATCTTAATCGAGAGATGACGTGAAAATTCACAGAAAAGTACAGCTCGTGTTAATTTACTTACAGATGGATTCTGAAGTGCTGTTCTCACATCTTGTAGGAAATCTCTCGTAGACTTGAAGTCGATCATACGGCTCTTACTATCTGTGTTAAGCATATACTGGCTCTGCAAGATATACAGTCGCAGTAAAATTGTGTGGAAAAAGTAGCAAATAGATATCCTGTACTTACAACGAGTGACTGTAACTGCGTGAAGAACGACAGTACAGTTTGTGCGGACGTCATCAAGTCCTTCACCCTCCTGCTGAATTCTCTGTTCCGCAGGAGAGCAATGTGCCTGCCGAAGGCGATCTGCGCATTGTCGAAGGACGGATAATCGGGCATAGCTAGCTTCAACTTGACCCTAGAACAACGAGCATCGCCAGCAACGTAGGACGAATGCGAGACGATCAGAAAGCCTTTCCAGGTGACGGGCGATTCCGAGACGAGTATCATCTCCGGATGCCAATCCCAGATTGCCTCGTAATTACGGTTACACCTTACTGCCATGGTCTCCTTGGTTGATTTACTTGGCAGTCATACCTGAAATTTAACGCACATCTAGAAGAATTCGTCATGTAGATGCATTTGTCAATATTGACGTTTTTATATCGAATCATAATAAAGATATATCTTCTTGATAGAGTTAATCCCGGGTATTTATCAATCGATATGAATGTTTCTTACTGATAATTTTATCGATAAAGACGTATCTTTTCGAGGAATGTATAACTTACACATAGTCGTGACGATAAAAGGGCAGGGAATCCCTTTTCTTTGTAGTTTCAAAATGTTTCGAACAAACGGTTTACAAAATACCATCTGACGGACAGATTGGAATTGAAGAGAAATCCATAAAATAATAAGTAATAAAACTAGATTTTTAAATATTACTAGTATAAAACAAAACGAACATTCTTTTCAATTCCAGACGCACTCGATATCCAATAGGAGTCTGTTTCCCAGGAAGAAAAGACGGACGTATTAGATCGCGTCAAATGTCTAATCTTTCTTTCAAGTGTTGTACAGTGATGGGCAAAAAGAAGGCAGTTTAATGTCTTCTGTCACTACACTGGTGCAATAAATTAGAGTAAGATAAGTCTGTTTTTCTCATTCTAGCTTACTGCACAAGTGCACCAATGCAGGAACAGAAAACAAACCTTATGGTTGTGACACTTTTTTTTTAGTGAATTTAGAAACGCGCATTTAAATTTAGGTTTGCGTTCCAAAACATTTTCTTTGAGGAAAATTTTACTTGAGAAATAGATTGAAAACGCTCAAAATGGTTTTCGAAAGACTATCGAGTAAAATATTCTTCGCAGAGGAAGATTTTGGAACGTAACCTAAAAAAAGTGTGGCAACCATTCTGTCACTGTACATGGTTTTTTACCACAAAAAAAATAGATATTTGGATAAAAAGGGTGCACTTCCTCCCTTTACTCTCCAAATATATATTTTTTTTCACGCGTCATGCTTTTTATTTGGCGTACGACAAAATTTTTAAGCGTGTCTATTGGCAACAGAATAGTAGGGTTCTCAAGTATCTAGTTTTCTGTCGAGCAGCCAATCAACATGCTTGAAATCTTGTTGTACGACAAATGAAAATCCACCTTTAGGCTAATATCACATTTGTAGCACATTAAATTTTTTAAGCTTGTCGATTGGCTGCAGAATAGATAATTTCTAGAGACTCGAGAACTTTTCTATTTTACAGTAATTTGTTGTACGACAATGGCCGTGTTCAGCAGACACAACTGTTGAGTGAGCGCTCAATGATTTCTTAATATGATTGGCTGGATCTAAAAGTATTAACCAATCATACTGAGCGCTCACTCAACAGTTGTGTCTGCTGAACGCGGCCATTAAAAGCTGGCGTTTTACCCCCTCTCCATAAATTCCTGCCAGAATGGCGAATGTAGCGAATAAACGCTCAAAGTTCGACACAGTCCAACTTTTAGCGAATTGATCAAGCAACGCTGAAATTTAAATTATTTTACTTAAAAGTGTATAAAAAAGAAATTATGGCTGAAGGATTTAATCAATTGACAGCACCCGAAAATATAAACGAAGTTAGTATGATTTTCTTACGCTTACGTTTTACGTCCTTACGGAATTTTATGTGTGAAGGCCTTAAACGCGGCCATTGTGTAATCGTAGCCTGAAATATGTAAAGCCTCGTCTACATAGAAGTCGTAAAGTCGTAGTCGTAAGAATAGTCAACTATGATTGATCAATTCT